ATTTTCTTTGATTTAGACCTCGTTTTGGGGTCGAATTTGAAAATAAATTGTATATTCGGGCTCGTGGGGGAATGGGTGACATGGAATTGGTTCGAACCTCGGGTTTTGACCAAGCAGGCCCGGGGTCGATTTTTGGAATTTTGGGAAGAAAGCTTAGAAATTCATATTTAGGCATTGGGTTTAGTTTGTTTAGCTATTATTAATATTGTAAAGTCATTATTTCATAGATTTGACTAAGTTGGAGCCGAATTCGAGGGGTAAAGCTATACTAGAGGCTTGAGTTGATTTTGGAAGCATTTGAGGTAAGTGTTCGATCTAACTCTGGCTTGAGGGAATAGGACTAGAGTGTTGTTTGCTAATTGCTAAATGTTGAGTACGGAGTATAGGCATGGTGACGAGTATCTATACACCGGTGTTTAGCATGACCGTGGGTCCTTGTATGTATTTATCCTGATATTGTTATGACTCTTCTATGTTAATGATGAATGCTATGCGATGTGAAGAGTATGAGGACTAATTATGAATTGTAAATTCTTTGGAGCGTTGGCTCGAACGATAAAAAGACTATTGAGTAGGAAATGAAAGAAATAGAAAGAGATATGATTAATCCCTTGCCGGGATGGTTTGAGTATATTGATTATCTCCCTTGCCGGGATGTGAAAGTATTGTTGTTGCTCCGTCGCCGGGATTTAGCTGTTAATTGTGTAATTCCCTTGCCGGGACATTTCTTATTATTTGTTTATCCTCTCGCCCCATTTGGTTGTGATTACTGTTTGAGTGAGGAAGAGTGATAATGCACGAAGGGTCATTTCGTGCCATATTTTGATTATAATGCACGAAAGGTCATTCCGTGCCATGTTTTGATTATATTTGCACGAAGGGTCATTCCGTGCCATGTTTTGATTATATTTGCACGAAGGGTCATTCTGTGCCATGATTTGAGAGTATGAGAGGGAAAGCACGAAGGTTGATGCCGTGCACTTTACTTGACTACTTTTGGTGAGGATGAGAGTAAAAGCACGAAGGTTGATGCCGTGCAACTGTTGACTTTCCTGCTCTCATTATTTATTGTTATTGCCCTGTTGCTTACTTAAATTGTTGACTTTATATCCGGACTGTATTTCCCCCAATAGTATGCTCCCCTCCCTCTTAACTGTTTAATTTCTTTGTTCTTTCCTTTTATTGCATATATATATATTGAACTGCATAGGTTGGTTTGGTAGTCCTGTCTAGCCTCGTCACTAATTCACCGGGAGGTACTTACCAGCACATGGGGTCGGTTGTGCTGATGCTACACTTCTGTGCTCTTTTGCACAGATCACGGTACCGGAGCAGCTTTTGGACCACAGCAGTAGGATATTGATTGGGAGCTGACTTCAGTCCAGGGACTTACGAGGTAGCCTAGCTGGCGTTCGCAGGCCGGAGTCCCTT